GTCAGTCACGGAGATCCAAGTCTTCTAGTAAGGCTTGTTAAGCTAACGTTAGAATGCAGCTGTTGCCGAGGTCAGTAGTGGTGTATAGCATGGGCGTATTCAGACTGCTCTGCAAGTGGATAAACTTAATGCTAGTTAACAAACTCTGACGCTGAAAGCCTGCCCACTCAGTCCAGGGGACTATCAAAAAAAAGGTGGGAATGCTGATCAGTCCGATCAGTGTGATTAACGAGCCATTTGGATCATTTTGGATATTCACTGGGTTCAACCAGTGCTGCTAAAGCACCGAGAGTCAAGAAGAGCAAGATGTAGGCGGAGGGCCACAGCCAACATGCTGCTGCTGGGGGAGCCAGCTGGTGCAGGAGGGACAGGTCATATGAACAGCACAACAGCATGGAGGTAGCCTACTATAGTACTACTATATTTAAAAAAAATAATAAAATTAGAAAAAGTGTGACCTACTACCACAAGCAGAATCTAATTCTGCGGGAAACCCTGCACTTGCTATCTGTGCAGCTCACATATGGAGCTCTGCCTCAGAAATATAGAATAGAGGCTTTATTGTCATTGTACACAGTACAACGACATTGGGTGCAAACCTCAGGTGTAGAGAAAAATGTGTCAGTATCGAAAACAAAAAACTATAAATCACATAAAAATCACACTTATTGCACATTGACAAACTGCAAAGGCCCATCTCCATATTGACAGGAATAAAATAATTATGTTAAATATGTTAAAAAGCTACAAACAACATTGTACAGTACAATGTCACATATTTACTAAGTAATGATAATGACATACTGCATATACAGTGAGGAATAGAAGTATTTGAACACCCTGCGATTTTGCAAGTGCTCCCACTTAGAAATCATGGAGGGGTCTGAAATTCACATTGTAGGTGCATTCCCACTCTGAGAGACAGAATTAAAAAAAAAAATTCAGGAAATCACATTGTATGATTTTTAAAGAATTTATTTGTCTTGCACTGCTGAACATAAGTATTTGAACACCTGAGAAAATCAGTGTTAATATTTGGTACAGAAACCTTTGTTTGCAATTACAGAGGTCAAACGTTTCCTGTAGTTCTTGACCAGATTTGCACACACTGCAACAGGGATTTTGGCCCACTCCTCCACACAGATCTCCTCTAGATCTGTCAGGTTTCGGGGCTGTCGCTGAGCAACGCGGAGTTTAAGCGCCCTCCAAAGATGTTCTATTGGATTGAGGTGAATGGCCCACACCTACTTCCCAGCAACAAACTCAATGGTTCTTAGGGTTCGCCAACTTCTACAGGAAATTCATCAAGGATTTCAGCACTATTGCTGCTCCTCTCCACAGACTCACGTCCAACACACAACACTTTGCCTGGAATTCCTTGGCTGACAAAGCTTTCTCAGACCTGAAACAGCATTTCTGTTCTGCCCCTGTCCTCACCCTGCCAGACCCTGAGAGACGGTGGTGGAGGTCGATGCATCGGACTCTAGGGTGGGGGCGGTTCTGTCCCAGATCTTCACTCTGGAATGGGAATCTGCACCCCTGTGCTTTCTTTTCTAAACGTCTCTCCCACGCTGAGAGCAATTACAGCATTGGAGATGGAGAACTGCTCGCTGTTACATTGGCGCTGGAGGAATGGCAGCATTGGTTGGAGGGCTCCAAGCAGCCATTCCTGGTCTGGACAGATCACAAGAACTTGGAATACTTGTAGACAGCCAAGAGACCTAATCCCAGACAAGCCAGGTGGGCTCTTTTCTTTGACCGCTTCACGTTCTCCCTCTCATTCCACCCAGGTCACCGCAAAGGCAAGGCAGATGCCCTCTCACGCCAGTTCACCAGGGAGGAGGAGAGCGTAGAACCAGCATACATCCTGCCCCAGTCTGTCCGTGTGGGAGAAACTCACCTCAGCATTGAACAGAAGGTCATTGATGCCCAGGAGTCAGAACCGGGTCCTTCCACCTGTCCTCCCAACTGTCTGTTTGTTCCTGCTACCCTATGCACCAAGGTTCTGCAATGTTGTCATGCCACTAAACTCACTTGCCATCCGGGAGTAACACAGACCTGCTACACAGCACAGAGACAGATTCTGTCTCTCAGAGTGGGAATGCACCTACAATGTGAATTTCAGACCCCTCCATGATTTCTAAGTGGGAGCACTTGCAAAATCGCAGGGTGTTCAAATACTTCTGTTCCTCACTGTAAGCTGCAGACAGTGTATTGTGAGGTGCGGTACAGTGTAGCCCAGTACAGTGAAATATGATGAATAATCTCTTCATTTGTCAAATTAGTTAACAGAACTAATTTCTGTGGCATCACAACTCAGAGGCAGACCTGACATAAAACAACCTGCCACGTGCTTTTCAGCAGTACTAGCAATTATGGTGTATAGTTAAAATGGTGTATTAACTGGCTGAAAAACCGCTTGGTTTCTCTCTATATAAAATCTGTGCTAACTTCTTCATAATTACATGTTGGCTTCTGGATCTTATGTTAAAATTTCTGGATATCCAGAATATACAGCATCTCTCCACTCAGTCTGACTGAACAGAGCAAACTTGGCTTACCCTAGACAGCTTTACTAGGACAGTCAAAAATGCAATATCCTTTACGCTGGCTGTGTAACACATAATTCCCCAAATAAAAAGAAAATGGCACACTGTTAAAACAACAATTAAGATATTATCATAGACAATATATATATCGAACACCCCTATTCCAACAATTCACAAACTAAATTCTGGGCAAAAACCCTGTACATTCTGACTCTGTTATGATGTTAGCCTTGGACTGGCCCCTACATTCACTCCTAACAAGAGAACACTAGATGGTTATGTGTAAGCAGTTCTTCTCAGCCTGTGTCCTGGACCTATTTAAGCCATCTTAACCTAGAGGCCTAGTGAGTCCTGGCCCAGAGGCACTCCTCATCCTCATGCAGTCAGCCTCGGGCTGTGCAAAACATGATCCATGTTAGGTCAAATAGTATAGTTTGAATGCATTTCATGTCCTTTTTGCAGCAATGTCAGCTACACAGCTATGACCATGACGAACAAGCAGCATACATTACGTAGGAATAAGTAGCGCTTCCAAAGTACTACTTATTTAGAGGTCCCTCTTTGTACTGCAAACAATAGTACAAGACAGAGAGGTTAGTGGGGTTTGTCCTTCATCTTGGTCTTCCACCTACAATATTGTTCCTGGGCAGGTAAAGCCGACTGCTAGGTTTATGTAGACAGTAGCATGTAGCAGGTTCAATACCGATGTCTTTACGGTCATTACTGTTGCATTTTAAGCTAGCTGTACAATGTTTACTTACACTCAGTGGTCATTGACTAAGTACAGCTTCTTAGTGTCACGTACTGTGCAGATTTTTTTTTTTTAAGACCACAATGCTTGACAGCATTCTTTGGCATACTTGTCGTAATGGAAGTGTCAACTGGATTGAATCTGTAGAGTTGAAGACACGCCGTCCTTCATATGAATAGCTTCTTCAGTATGGGGTTCATCTTTTACTTTTCACTGACACAAGTCAAAACCAGAATTGTTGTCTTTGGTGATGTTCTGAGATTGAACATGGCTTAATTCCTCTTATGGAGGAGGACTGGAGGTATTTTATCTCTAGTAACCAACCAAAAGTCCCACGCCAGATTGTGTAACAGTATGAGACTCGCCATTTGGCAAAAAGCTGTCTGTAGAAATAGGAAGATGTACCTACCAATTGACCACTGAGTCTAATTGTTGTTAAGCTGGAAACAGCATACCCAAACCTGGAAACACTACCTTCCTTGAAAGGTATCGTTCTAACTATATGTCTAGATAACTACTAGGCTTGGGTCTCGTACCTAAATCGTTTTTGTAAGTGAGAAAACTGTATCAAGTACTTAAAACTCTCAGGTACACAAGCTCGTATCAAAGGCTTGGTCAGTTTTATAGTTCTGTTTTTAATCGAGTGTCAAAAATGTATATTCGTACTGAAACTCAGGTACTGCACTGGCAGTAGTACTTAGAAACAGTACCTAACCTCGTTAATATATGTCCATCTTAACGTCTCATAATCTCATGTGATTATAGGTACAGAGTTTCCTGGACTCAAATGAGTCCCTTTAAAGCTAGATACTGATAAATGACAAGATAAAAAGGAAAAATGTGTTACTTTGTAGAGCTGGGGTTGCAGTTGGCTCCTTTTCTTGATCGCTGGGATGAACCACTAGACTCGACTAAAGCGTGTGGCGCAAGAACCGACTGAACACAGTAGCACGGCAACGCACTCGGAACATCTAAATACAGCTATAAGTCTATGTCCAGGTAGCGCGGTATCTATACACGCAGGCCCAGTTACTCCATGAGAAGCTCAGAGGTAGCTGTAGTTGACTGCACATATTTGTACCTTGTGATCTGGTAAAGCCATATTCAGAACTAACCTTGCTGTGATCATCAATCTCTAACACAAACTGAAAAAAATACACTGTCACACTGCATAGGACATTCATGTACTAAGGAGCTCTGACAATTAAGCAAAATCCTTCATAGATGTCTAAATCTTAGCTTGTGGCAAGTCTGTTAATGAAGGACAAATCTAGCTTAGCACTAGCCCTTTCTATCACAGGGCCTAAAGCAGGCTAATTAGGCCTTGCTACTTGTATGTTTCAAAACTTTGCTATACTTCCATCATGTTCTCTTCTTAAAATTTCTACCATGTCTGTCTTTGGAGATTAGGTTTATCAAGTATCTCTGGGCTTCTCAAACCTGGATAACCGTCTGGGGAAAAAGAAATCTATTTTAATCTGTGTGAAGTATCCGTCTCAATAAAGAAAAAAACAAAACAATGTGTTTATACTTTGTATTTAGTCCTAAAAGTAATATAAATGTCATGCAGCTGTAAAATGTTAAAATGAAAATGTATTTATAACATCGAAGCACGCCAGGAACAATTACTGAACTTACAAATACCTGTAATTTAAAGGTTGCTAGTTAGCTTATTTGTGTAATTCAACAAGTTCTTATACCTGGGGAGATCAGTGTGCTATCCTTGTTCTTCTCTCCTCGTTTCTTTCGGGCTAGCATCTCCTGGAATGGCTGCTCCCTCGTTTCCATAATCCTCTGGTTATACAAATCCAGCTGCAACATAAACACAAACACAGTGTCATGGCACTGTGTCTAGATTATATGAGAATTAGGGTTGTATCCGACTATATCTTAAAGCATGTGTATATGTATATGACTATAATGATTTCGGCCACATTAACATCAGTATTTAAAGAGTCCATGGCATATTCATTTACATCCATTTTAATGTTTAATCTTGGGTACCTCTAGATTAGCTTTGCACCCGTCATAACAAATACTCTGTAATTATTTCGGAACGATAAAACCCGACACCACAAGGAGAGTCTCTTGTGAACGCGAACAACTCCTGTTGCCAGTTAGAAAGTTACAACAACACAAACAAAAGGCATTGATAAAAAGCTACGTTTTCAACAGTAAGAATACCTCAAATCCTAACATGTTTGAGCCAGAATATGAAAGTGAACAGTACAACGAACCGCAACAGCATTAATTAATTTGAATTTCTCCTCCATAAATAGGTAAACAACGGTATATGTACCGATGAAAATAGATGTGTAACCCTCTAAACAGAGGGTAACTAAGAAACCCCATATTTTAACTGGCATAATGCAGACATAGTTCAAAGGTCAGGGTCACATTAATAGACATATGAACTGTTAGTTACTGTTAGTGGAGGGACGTGACAAGATGACGCCAGTGTTGGTGGCTGCTCGTCTGTTGCTCTCATTCTGGCTGATGATTATGGCGTTTTTAATTGTCGGTGTATCAAGGACGAAGTCTCTGCTGGTGAACGATCGCCGGTTCCTTTTGGACCTTCAATCTAAGGGCGGGGATCTGTGTGTGCTTGGACGTGACGGACGAGGAACTGTTCCCCCGGTCTTATCGAGGATCCCGGCTTACTTGCTCCGGGCCTCGGCCTTGTTCCCCTGGCGGAAACGTCTCCGTCAGCGAGGCCGGCGTAGTGGGCGGTTGGTGAGACTAAAGACTCATCTTACATACTTTTCGTCTAGCCCCTGGAGGGGCTGGAGACCTTACCCCGGGTCTATGGTGCCGCGGCGTGTACTGGATCCTAACCACGGCTACCTGGTGTATGTTGTGGGTGGTGGTGGGGGCCCGCGGCCCAGTGGGCCTTGCCCCTCGCGGCTTCACCTGCGTGGGGTGGATCTTTGTGCTTTGAGGCCACTTCGACCAGTTTCACAACCGGTGGTACCGCAAGCCCGGGACCTCGCAAGGTTTGGCCTGGTGAATGTCCGCTCGCTGAAGAACAAAACCTTTATTTTGAGGGACTTTTTTAACTCTATGGATTTGGATCTTCTATTTCTCACAGAGACCTGGGTGGATGCCGGGGATTTTAGTGCTTTTACGG